CCATCTGGTAAGTTCCTCTTTGTATCTAGCCTTGATCCTGTGTGCCAACAGTGAAATATCATGAATAAAGCCAACTATCCATCTATCAAAAGTAGGTCTTTCATTTCTGAAGACTTTGTCATTTCTAGTGACCCAAATATCCCACCATGATGTAAACACCACTTCAACAAAAGAAGGGCTTGGCAAAGTCCTTCCTGGTCTTGACAACAATATCAGTCATATCATTTACAGCAGGCCAATAGATTTTAAGATAATTCCAAATTATAATACTAAAAATTACACTTAAAAAAAGATGATTCCTATCCTCCCTGGATTGGGTATGTCAGAGAATACAAAAAATATGTACAACATAATGAAATACATGATTTTGTTTTTTTACAGCTCACAACAATAAGTGTTTCATAATGAAATTTTACACACATGTAGAATACATCTCTAAGTAATTGTGTATTTACTTTCAGAATTTTTTAATCTTAAAAAAATCAACTCTTAAATTTTTGAAATTTCTGGGCTCCATGAAAAGCCCAAGCAAAAATCAACTCCCTCGCCCTTCTTTTCTTATTCGGAAGTACCGTACCGATTATGCCACCGCATTTTTACGCACGCTAACAAGCATGTTCACTTTGTATTAGATCTTGTCTTAGTCACTATGAAGTGTACTTTCTATTGTTTTGAAATCGTCACTTAATGTCTTTGCCTCAACTACTTCAAATTATGCTTTGACGCAGATCATGTTTCTCTCGCGGACACCTCCTAGTCATTTCACATCAAAACAAGCTAAACAACTTGTAGATAATTTCCTATGCAGATATGTCATCCCATGAATGGTCATCCGCCGCGTCCACTCTAAGTGGCAGTTAATGCGCGGCAAGCCTCCTGAAGCGATCCGCGTGGCGAGAGTCTTGGATGGGGCCGCTCAGTCGGATGTCTGCATGACGCATGTTCGAAAGCCCGCAACCTCCAACCGTTTTGCTTTTGGTTTGCGGGATTTCGAACGTCCGAACCTCGGACACGACATTGGATGACAAAAAGTGTCCGAACCGACGGCCGAAAACATTTAGTGGTTTTTTGATGCACGCCATTGGAGGCAACTGTTGGCGCAGCTTTTTTATCTCTACTATTAAAGGGGATCGAACGTCGTGATGGTTCGACCTCCCCTCGTGGTTCGACACCTCGTTCGATTGGACACGTATCATTGGGCCACCTCCTTCCCACGATCCATCCATGAGACCATGATCGCCTCTCGCGAAAACCGCAACGATCTTTTTACAGCACCTCCCACACTTCCAACCCTCCGGTTTACAAGGGGAAAAACCAAAAAAGAAACAACCCTACCCACGCATGCACGTTTCCTATGCAATCCAGAACTGCCGCTAGACCAGGCAAAATCAACGCACCGGTATGCACACATCTATACATGCACGATCTGCTAGGGCTTCTCCTTATTTCCTAACGACCTGACCATGCATGTTCCTCCTTCCTGGTCATGCTCGCCATCATGCCAGACGGGAGGCCGCCATGTGCACCGTTTCAATGGTGTTCCTCCTCGAGGAGCGCGTCACTAGCATGACGCGGGCGGGGAAGTGGTGGACGCGCAGGGTTCACGCCTACGTTTGGGGTGGCCATCGCGCTCTACCTCCTGGCCTCTGAACTCACCAGCATCGGTCGCCGCGGCGGCGTTGTCTCTATCGTCTTCATCGAGATGCTCCTGGTGGTCCTCTATAAAGCCCCGAGCCCTAGACAGGGTTGATCGTCGAGGCGGAAGCGGCTGAGGCCCGGAGCCCCCTCGAATTGCCACGACTCATGGAGGAGCAGAAAACAAGTCGGCAGCGTGCCTGAGCTAGGGCAGTGGCGGCTGCAATCCAGGTAGTTTTTTCCCTCATCTCTTATGCTCATTCTCTCTTTGTGGTCTACAAGGGCGTGCTACGGCTGAGCGTACAGACATGGCCATCGCTCTAGCTACATTCATCCCGGTGCAGGACCGCTCGTCTCGGCATCGCAGAATCGCAGGCGAGGGTGCCGGTGACGGCTGCCAGGTGCTCGTGGGGCTACTGAAGGGCGCGGGCGAGGCACATGGTTGATGCTTGGGACAGCTGCGGAGCGGCGTGCGCGAGTGCAGGGCAGGCAGTAGCCAGGGCGGCGGGAGAGGACCTAGGACACGTTGTGTTCATGTAATCATCTTGTTCGTCTCTCCCTTTTGTTCGTCCTGTGTGACTATGTTTTCCTCTTATATCCTGTAGCTCTAACTATGCTTTCCTCTTGCATCCTGTAGCTTTAAGAACGACTTGTGCAGGTAATTTATTTCTGGTCACCAAAACAAGTTTGTTCTTACACTTTGATGTTATGATTTGTCATTATGCACTAACATTGAGAGTACTAATGGGTAGCATGGTATGATCAAGAGAGGGGAATAATTTTCTACAGGTTATTTTGTTAATGATAATGACACGAAATCACCATGAATATTAATATACAGGAGGGAGTACTATTTTATTGGTGTCATTTAATATCTAATTATTTTGTTTCAAATAAAGTACCAAATTTAGTGATTAATTTTTCTTTACCGCGTCATGCACGCATCTCTAATCTTTGTGGTGTTGGCTGATGTACATAGACTGTACATGGAACCTTTATGATCTACACGTCAACTACACCATGTGACAGATTGCTTCAATATAGCTTTTGTCTGCGACGCAAAGAAAATGGTGTGACATGGAGAAGGAAACGAATTGTCTAAGTAATAGAGTTGTCACTTAAATTTCAGATTCAATTTTAGTCTTTGAAAGTTGTTATCTAAAAAATTCATTCATAAAACTTAAAGCTCATAGAACTTCTATGATACGCCTAAATAAATAATGTATTCGCTATAACCAAACTGATCAAATTATATTATACTCCAAAGTAAAGCACATCAAACATTGATAGTGCAATAATTTGATTGGTAACATCTCTTCCGTGGTAACGCACGGTATTCGACTAGTACAATATAAAGTAACCCAGACGGCATCTTTTTGGATACCACAGCTAGTTTACATCACCCACCAGATGCCTTGGCACGTTCGAGGGCTGAGCGGAAATAGTAGTTAGGCAGGGGTGTTTCCGCCTCCCTGCCAAATTACGTGGGAGGATAGAGCGCACTATATTTGAGCAAAGGATCCTTAGGCGTACGTGGCGCAGCGGCAGCCTTGATTTAGATAAGCACCCTCTCCAGCCACAAGTTTGCGGCTCCACTTTTGCTTGGCCCATCGGCTCACACCTCACCAGCCCGGGCCCACCACAGCACTGACCCGCGGGCCCGACCGCCCGTCTGGCCCGCCTGCCATTGTGTCGCTTTGGTCGTTAAGTAGAGCAATCCCCTCCTCATCTTCTCTTCTCCCCGTCCACCACAATTATACAAGCAGCAGCAGCAGCCGCCTAGACGCTTCCTTCCGCGCATCCACAAGAGCAGCTCCCCTTCCTCATCTGTTCTTCAAGAACAGCACCCAGGACAAGACAGAAAAGGTTTGTGCGCTGCTGATTTACTCTTCTGTTCTTCCTCTGTTGATTTGTTCTCCGCTCAATTGCTCTACTCCGTGCTCTCCCCGTAAGATTTCGTCCGTAAGGCTAATTTCTTTTTAACCTCTGCCGGTAGCTAGCTAGCTTTGTCCCTCATATGGAATATAGTTGCCGGGAACGGGGAAGGAGGCAGCGGTCCTCGAACCGGGTTCGTCCATCCGGATCGAGGGTCGGGGTCGACGTGGGGAACGCCACGAGTCGATAACATTCAGCGAACCAAAGCAACGACAGTGGATCTCGATTCCAACTCGCCATCGCCAACAACAAGCAACGGAAGGATGGATTCGTTGATTCATGGAGATGCTAAGATTTACCCGTCCAAGAGTCCATGGCTTCCACCTTCCCCCGGCCTGAAAGGGGCGCCGGCGGCCCGCTGCCCAGAGTCCCATATTCCGCTTCCGCCGCCGCTGCACCGCACCTGGAAGCCGGGCTCCGTGCAGCCGACTGTGCGAGCCGCCACGGCGGACGGCATCGGTGCGGAGGTCGTGCCCAAGTGCCCAACCGGTGGCCTCTTCTGGTCAATGCTTACCCCGATCTGCCGTGAATTGATATGTTGATGCTTTTCACTTTCCCTTTATAATTTCTATTGTGAAAAAAATTAGCCGTGTAGCATGCGTAACGTAGATAACGGACTTAACTACGAGGCTAGGATTAAGCCGCGGTTGGGGATTGCTAACTCGCGGTTAGAGTATATGGCACGAGTAGCAGCAACCAGCGGGTACTGTAAAAAAGTTCTGCCTTTCGCTTAGCTTTGAAAGAAACAGAAATCATTTTTGATGCTTAGATTTGATTACTTGTCCCTTTTTTTCTTGAATACGCACGAGTGACTTGTCCCTTTTTGCTCGGCTATTTGCAAACTGGTTAGCCCTGAATTGAAAGAGATCCTGAATCGATGAATTATAACTCCAGCAGTCACCTATGAATACAAAATTTGCTTGTCTGACATACATGTAGTTTGGTTAATGTTCTAATAGTGTCATACCTCTTCCAGATGAGTAGCATGTCGTGTTATACCCTGGCAGAAGGTGGAAGCATCTTCCCATCTGGCGACGAACTCGCCGGGAATCAAAAGACAGAGCAAGGAAATTACTGGACACAATGGAATTCAAGGCTATCTGATGATTTGAACACAACAAGCCTATACTCAGACGAGCATGAGAATGGCATCGAGCAATGTTTCGACGACGCCGAGGAACATGAGAGGAGCAGCCAACAGGAGAGGTCTTCAGCATGTCCCAGAGTTGCATCTTCAGATTGCAGCACAGGGCCTTCAGAAGAACATTCTGAGGGGCCAGCGCCGTTGGAACTACAACACTCCAAGGAAACAAACGACATCTTCTTGTATGTACACAACACTAGTGTAGTGCTTTACTAAAGGCTCATATAGAAAGTAATGTGCGAGTGGTCGCCGTAGATCTTATGCATGGTTGTAAGCCCATTTGTCCAAAAACTTTTTCAGGAGTCAATTTTCAGATGATGAAATGAGGATGATGGATGCGCCGTTTCAGGCACTTGATATGTTCCCTGGCTCCATGCACAGGCTGCTGTCCTATGAGAACATGCTGAGTGGAGTATTGACTGATTCTCAAAATCAAGAAACAAATCCGGGTCATAATGAAATGGACACCATGGATACTTGCGGCTTTCCTTTGTTCAGCCATGACTTGCAAAATGATCCTAGCAGCGCTGATGGCAGCTTACAAACACTACTGAGTGCCTCCCAGGACAAGGTATAATCCTGCTCCAGTACAGAAGATTGTTTGTTCAAGCATCTATAGTTACTGAATAAATTACTTATTTGGCTTAAACTAAATTTTGTTAAATTGCAGGCTGAGGTGAGCACCATGAAGAGGAGTAGATCAGTGGCCGATATAGAGAGCTCCTCCAACGGGGAAGTAGCAGTGCTTGAGGAACTTGAAGATGTCATGTTTCAGGTATGTTCACCGGAAGAGGGGCTACCATTTTGGCATGTCCAGTTTGTTCATGTAACCTTTGCATCTTTACATGTCTGTAACTATGAAACATCTGCTTTTGAAGCTGACAAAGAAGACACGTGTATGCCTCCGTGACGCTTTCTACAGGCTGGCTGAAAGCTCGGAAGCGCAGTGCACTGCTGTAAATGGACGAACACTGACGTGCTCAAACGAGCAAAGTTTTCAGCAATCAGAGGGCACCGAATCTAGGTACATAGTCCGGAGCAATTGTAGAATGTTCACCATATGCTATGCCTCTTGATAGTATGGTCCCGTTTTTTATGTAGTGTGGATGTGTTGCTAATCCTAATTGTTTTCACTGGACAATTTCAGCACCTCGACATCAGACCGTGCAGAACGGGAGACGAACGCGATAGACAGAACCGTGGCAATCCTTGCGTTCAAGCCGGCTTGCTCAGCTGCATGGGAATGAATGCTGCGCCGATGATCCAAAGTCATCCATGCTTACCTGGATCATCAAAGGTGAAGGAGGAGGCTTAGCGTTTGGAAGTACTTCCATCCGCAACCTCGCCATTTTGCTTCATGCAGAGATGTAAATGTACTACATAGGTTGCTAGGACATTTTGTTCTGAGCTTGCAAGTAGGGAGAGCCAGCATGGTACAGGCTGATCATGTATAATGACTTGATCTCTTTATCATTTTTTGCCGGCAAAAAATGATGATATATGTACTATTAGTTATACTAGCAAATTTGCCCGAGCGTTGCAATGGAAGAAAAAAAACATCATATAACCCTAATTTAGTAAGCATGACTCAGTCGTCCCCCTCACAGGTCGACGCCTTCGTTTCAACACGGCTGCCCACTCATATTGTTGGTTACCCCTCCCCCTGTCGCTTCTTTAATTGCAATGACGACATATTAAAAGCTAAAGTAATAATTAGAAACACACCACGATATGTAAAAGTTAAGAAGCTTATGAAAACAAATAAATAATTGATTGATTCCAAATTATAGTTCACTTCAAAAATAGAAAAATCAACTAAGCATGAAGAATCATATTTATCTAACGGAGAAATGATAAAGAAAGCATTAACATACTCTAAAATTCTAAAACAGAAATGTTTGAAACACACATGCTTTACAATACTTGTTTGTCGAAAAAAATATCTATTTTGTGGCAACGGGAGCAGAAATTGAGACTTCAAAACCCAGGGAGAGACAAATCTGTTGCATGAATATAGATGAAGATTACAAATCCTATTTGCAATCCACATAACAATATTAGGATATATTAATTTTTCTCATATATTTATTTTCACAATTGATTGAGATTGGAAGACTTATGTATCATTTGTCGTGCAAAAGAACAATAAAACTTAAGGCATGGGTGCATAAACTTCAGATAAATGAATGAAATTCTGTTTAGTAAATACATTCAAACAGTGGAAATTCATCCATGCCTGATCCATGGCGAGATCCAAGTAGTAGCCCGGCCTCTAATTATGTGCCTCCATGTGAACCATTCTGTTCAGTAAATACATCCAAACAGTGGAAATTCTGTTCAGTAGTGCACTTCTGCAAACAATTGAAACCCCGACTCGTATGTAATAAAACAGTCAAAGTCGTCAGGCTCACAGCAAGCCTGTACCTGCATTGCACACACGCATGCTGAGTAAATGGACAATTTTTCGATTACTTTAATCCATAGATAAATCACTAGCATGACATTGACTGAATTAACGACATATCGATTTTGATCTAACCAAGCATGTACTACGCAAACAGTAGACATATCTACACATACTGCTAATACTGCTAATACGAAAATAAACAGGAGTGTAACCTGTTATACCCTCCAGCAGGCCAGGCAGAAGCCGTGGCGGAGGTGGTGGCAGTAGCGTCCTCGGCGGCCTTCTTGTCAGCCTCGAGCTTCTCGGCAGCGAGACGGTCGGCGTCGGACTGTGACATGGTGATGATGAAGATGACGCGAACGCAGAGGAAGTAGTGGATCGGAGGCGAGCAGTCGCGTCCCAAAAACCTATTCGCCCCTCTTCCGTACAGGATCAGGAGGGGCGGGGTTTCAGAGATCTGCTCTCCCATCGACCGTGTACGCGGCGGATGGGATGGAGTCACCGGCGGCAGCAGCAGCAAAGGAACGACGATGGGCGTGCGTGTGGAGCATATGTGATATGTTCGTGGCGGCTAGGGTTAGGAGACACCTCACACTTATATTGGCGCATCCACGTTGAGAGAGGTGGGCTCGACCCACGCCCGAGTCCGTGACAGCCCACGATCCGACATCTCAGATCGTGGCCCAGCTGTCAGTAAACTCTCCGTTAGTGACTGGCAAAAAATAAGCACGTAGGTATGAGCTCGGTCGGCTCATTCCCGAAACTGGCGACGCGTCGTGGCGTGGCGAGGCGGGCGGCGGAGGAGGAGTGCGCGAGGGCCTCTTCTCTTCTCAAGCTTCAATAACATGTAGACAATAAATCCTTATAAAGAGGTCCAACTCCTTCTCCACTAGCGGGGGAGGGGGGACTAAACTTCGCACTACACCTAGTGCCATGGGCCCTTACAGATTTACTGAAATTACTAGGTGGGCCTAAATCCCACTACATCCAATTGTTGTTTCGATATACCAGTGTTTCAGTGAAGACCTGTTAAGATTGAGCTTCACCTAGAGCAAGTAGCTACACTCCTTCACAACTGAACAACGGACTAAGCCTTGAATTGTCAGTTTGGCGTAAAGAAGCTTCACCACATGTCTTACTAGTACTAGGCTGCGGAAGGCTGATCCCTCGGGTGGAGCATATAAGTCACACTCCTGGCCTATTCATGAGCTTACTAGAGATCACCCCAATCTCATAGATTGTGACCAGCAGTCGGGCTCATATAGGTGTGTTCCTTCAAAGATCGCTCTATAGGATAACATCTTGCTTACATAAGCTTTGGAACACATTAAGACAGTAGTCATCACACCATACAATATCGAGAGTATTGCATCTCCAACGGAGTGGGTGAGTATAGTTACTCTCCTCATTTCACCACTGGCTTGTTTTCCCAGATCCTACTTCACGGGAACTCCGATCACATATGTTGGGTTACCACCCTGGCAACTCATGTGGGTCTCATACCCATCTCCCTTGACGCATTATCTATCACAACACGTGATAGCCTTTTTGTAAAGGGATCTGCCAGATTCTTAGCCGTATGGATATAGTCCAACGATATCACTCCGGAGTTTCTTAGTTTTCTGATAGCTTTTAATCTCATTCTTATGTGTTTGTTGGACTTCATGTTATCCTTTGAACTCTTACCTTGGTGATAACAGTTTGATTATCACAGTTCATAAGGATAGCCGGAACCGGCTTCTCAACCAATGGCAAGTCCATCAAAAGATCTCGAAGCCATCCTGCTTAGACACCAGATGTGTCTAATGCTGTTAATTCCACTTCCATTGCCGATCTCGTTAAGATTGTTTGCTTGCAAGACTTCCAGGAAACAGCGCCACCTCCAAGAGTAAACATGTACCTAGTTGTGGCCTTCATCTCATCATCACTATACCCTTCAAGTATCGACGAGTCTCCGGTATAGTGAAGTCCATAGTTCATAGTACCTTTTAGATAGCGCATAACTCTTTCAACTACCAGCCAATGTACATCACCCAGTTTAGAAACAAATCGACTCAGTTTGCTCATAGCAAACGCGATGTCAGGCCTCGTTGCGCTCGCTAGGTACATCAGTGAACCAATGATTTGAGAGTATCTCAATTGATCTTTAGCCGTGCCTTTGGACTTTTGAATCAACACGCTAGGATCATATGGTGTTTGAGATGGTGTACAGTCTGAATATCCAAAACGACTCAACACCTTCTCAACATAATGGGATTGCAGAAGTGTAATCCCACCATCATCATCTCTCAGTAGCTTGATTTTCAAGATAACATCAGCCACACCAAGGTCTTTCATCTCAAAGTTCTGAGATAGAAACGACATGAACTCCTCAATGACTTCGAGGTTGGTTTCGAATATCGGTATGTCATCAACATACAAGCACAGTATAACTCCTTCGCCCCCACCATGTCGATAGTATACACATTTGTCAGCTTCATTAACAACGAAGCCAACGGATGTCAGAGTTGTATTAAACATATCATGCCATTGCTTAGGTGCTTGTTTTAGGCCATATAAATATTTTAGCAACCTACACACCTTTCTTTCCTGACCATCTATCACAAAGCCATCTAGCTGTTGCATGTAGATTTCCTTGTTTAGCTCTCCATTCAGAAAAGCCGTCTTAACATCCATCTGGTGGACGAGAAGACCATGTGAGTCCGCCAACGAGAGTAATACTTGAATGGTGGTTAGTCTGGCCACTAGTGAATAAGTATTGAAGAAATCTTCCTCTTCTTTCTGGTCATAGCCCTTGGCCACAAGCCTAGCCTTGTACTTTTCAATCGTACCATCGGGACTAAGCTTCTTTTTGAACACCCACTTACATCCCAATGGTTTGCAACCATAAGGACTCTCAGTGATCTCCCATGTCCCATTATCCATGATGAAATCCATCTCTCTACGTACCGCATCCTTCCAGTAGTCAGCTTCTGGAGAGGCATACGCTTCTGAAATAGAAGTGGGAGTATCATCCATGAGGTACACGAAGAAATTATCACCAAAGGTCTTTGCAGTCCTTTGTCTCTTGCCCCTACCAAGGATTTCCTCGTCATCCTCCTTAGGATTTTCATCATGTGTTTGTTCATAATATTCCATAGGAATGGCAGGCTCAGGAGTCTCCTCAGATTCTTATCTAGAAGTGCTTTGCGTATCTCTCATAGGAAAAATATCCTCGAAGAATGTAGCATCTTTAGACTCCATAATTGTACCGACCTTCTGGTCAGGTACCTCATATTTCACTACTAGAAATCTATAGCCAACGTTGTTCTTAGCGTAGCCCAAATTAACGCAGTCCACAGTCTTGGATCCAAGCTTACGCTTTTTGGGAATCGGCACATTGACTTTTGCCAAACAGCCCCAAGTACGCAAATACGAGAGTGTTGTCCTTCTCTTCGCCCATTTCTCATAGGGAGTGATTTCATTATCCTTTGTCAGAACTTTACTCAGGACATGACATGCCGTCAATATAGCCTCCCCCACCATGCCTTGGATAAAACCGATGTATCTAACATGGCATTAACCAAATCAGTTAGAGTACGATTTTTCCGCTCGGCAACCCTGTTTGACTGGGGTGAATAGGGAGGCGTCCTCTCATGAATAATGCTGTGTTCTGCACAAAAAGAATCAAACTTACTCGAGAAGTACTCTCCACAATGATTTGACCGGACTCATTTAATTTTCTTTCCAAGTTGATTCTCAACTTCTGCCTTATAGATTTTAAAGTAGTGTAGAGCCTCATCTTTAGTACTCCCTCCGTTCTAAAATATAGTGCTTCCTCTATTCCGTGCTTCAACTTTG